TTATCTAATTTAATAACTATATTATTATTACATATTATAACTAAAATTACTATTTATACTGCAGCTAACTCTGCCTTTGTAGACAATGGCCATTTTGTTATTTTAATTTTTTTTTCTATTATTAATCTACTTTTATCTTTGCTAATCTGTACCCAATTCACATCTATTTTGCAATTTTTTTTTCTTTATAATAACCTATCTGTATAAAAACTATAGTTTATACATTTCAATTTCATATTTTTTTTCAATTGTCTTAATAGTAAGCTTTTTAAGCTTCTATTAAATCCTTACATCTTTATTAAACTGATCTTATATATATATATGTTCTTATTGCTTCATTTACAACTTCTTCTTTATTATTAAAACTAGCTTCTGTGCAGCTTTCTTTATATTTACTTAGTTCTTCTAACAGAACTAGAACCTTTTGTTTATGCTTTTGTCTAATTCCTAACAGTACACCTACTATTGCACTTTTCTTAACCTAATGCTAACAACTGTTTGTATGTTTTTACTATTCAAATTATATTTTTTATATTTTATAAGTACTGACTGATATTTACTTTTGACTTTAGATGTATTCCAGTAATTTATAAGTATATTTTTCGACTATTCTACCTATTATTGATTTCATATTCTTCTTATTTATTAGCATGCATTCATGCTTTCTTTTGTCTTGTAATAACCTTTTGCATATAGCTTACATTGCTATAGTGTTTATGTTTTTAGTTTAAAATTCTGCTTATACTGTTTTATCATCTTCATTATCTAATATTTTCTGCTCAATTTCTGCAAACTACTTTGCTTTTTGTTTTTTTTGTATACTTGTTTGTAATGCTCTAAACTTCTTTTATGTAATTATTCTCTTATTATCTTGATTCATTAGCTGCTATATAAATAATATTCTATACTTCATCAACTTTTATATGTCATTCTAAATGTTTTCTTTTCTATTAGATTATGTATAGTTTTACCTATACTATAAACCTGCCAAAAACCATCTTTTATTTTTTTATTATACCCATTTCTCTTGCTTTAAATATAACTAAATATGCCAAATTATTTTTTCAAATTTTTTTTAAGTTATTCACTAAAACTGTATTTAATTCTTCTAATATTAATTTTGTCAAAACAAAACCTTGTTTTACTCATATTCTTATTATTTCACCAACCTGATTTAGCTTTTTTAGTCTTTTTTGCACTGATACTAACTGATTATTATTATTATTATTATTTTATTTGTATAATATCAAGTAAAAAAAATAAAAATACATTTATATATCAATTGAATATAGATGTATAACTAAAATATTATTCCTAAACTACATTATTGTTGTTATATACTACATCATCTAGTGTGATATTATCCTTTAGCTTTCTGTTTTTAGTTAAGTTAATTGATATAAACTTAACTACAGAGAGAGTAAAAGGAACCCTTAAGATTTTTAATTAGTAAAAACAGATATATATAGTGAAGTTTTGAGTAAGAGTTTTAGAAATAAAAGGATCTATATTAGTGTTAAAAGTAAAAGTAATATTGTTAGAATTTGTATATTGAGAAGTAGTTAATTTAATATTGTTTTTCTTTTTAGTAAAGGATGTAATTCCTCATAATAATTCCTATTTATATTGTTTAGTGTTACAGGTTTGCCAGATAGTAGAGTTAAACCAAGTAAGTAATAAGTTAGATAAAGAAATAAAAAAATTGTTAGTTAGTTTTTTTAGAGTGAGTTGAAGTTGGTTGTATTGATTAAGGGTTATTGTACCCTGAATGAGTAATAGTATTGTATTATATATATTTAGATTGAGAGAAGTGTTTTGTATAATAAGAATTTGTATTATTGTATTGGATAAGGTTTCTATAATGTTTAGAGAGTTTAAAGCATTTGAGATTTCATTAGTGAGAATGTTTTGTGGATTGTAGAAATGAAGTAAGCATTAGAATAAATGTTCAGTACTTTCATATTGATTGCAATATGAGCAATTTAGAATTAAATAGAGAAGAGAATAGTGGGTATGAAGATTTGACATTGTAGATAAATTATTAAGAAGTATTTTGTTTCTAATAGAATATAGTTTGAGATTGGAATTTTGGGAATTAATAATAATAGAATGTTTATAGTTGGAAGGTTTCATAGTAGTTTAAGTTAAAGAAGTTTGTTAAATATTTGTATTGAAATTAGGTTTTTACAGAATTTATATAGTTTGTATGTGATTAGAATTTTATTCCAAGAAAAATAAGTAAATAGGTAAAAGTGATCAAGATTAAATTTTAATTTAGTCTTGTTGGCATCACAAAAATACTGTTCCTGATGGATTGTTAGTATTGTTCCTGATGGGATAAAAAAAAAAATCAATTTATATACCATTTCTGATGGGGTAAAAAAAAAATTTGACTAGCATACTGTTTCTGATAGGGTTACATACTATTTCTGATAGGATTCCAAAAAAAGGTCCAGTAAACATAGCCTAGGTTCATGACTTAGATAATTAATTAGCCATTAGTTCAAGGCAGCTATCTCCTAATTGATATACAAACTAGACATAAACATTACAGCCCCATTAATATGAGCAATACTTATCACCTTTATTTACTGCTGAATATGTTTACGATCTAGAAGTACTGTATATACTTACATGATTCTTTGGCAGGAAAAAAAATGCCTATTTATTTCCTAGCTATGTGGCACATTATTTTAAGTTTTTTTTTTTTTTGATACATTAAAATAATGGAAATAATTTGAATCAAGAAACTATATTTTTGAATGACCAGAAAATAAATAGGTATATTCTTCAGCTACTCAATTGTATGTCATATAGATGTAGCTTTAATGATTCTATCACTCTTGTGAAAATACATTTTGCAGTATATGTTATTTAACATCTGTGAATAGATTTAAATGCTCAATACATAACAATTGATATTTGAGGCTATTTTGCAAATTATCTGACTTGGGCCTTGCTGGTTTATATATGTACATTACGTATATTATTATTTGACCTAACTATAATAAATGCACATTTTGAATAAAAGTCCTTAAATGATTTTCAAGATTGATGTCAAATATGTCAGGGCACACAGTATTACCATTTAAATTATCTTATTTCTTTTTTCATTTTTAGTTAGTATTTTCCATGTACATATGTATATTCGAAGATCCTATTTGCTATATTTTCATATTTAGATTCCATTAGTTTCGTGATATGTATTTACATTAAAACTCATAATAAAAACAGCTGTAAATTAGTTTTATTAGTTGTTTCACACTAGTCAGAACCCACAATAGAAATAGAAATATATATTATTAGAATATTATTTTGTATATAAGACCTTCAAATTTTATATGAATAAAAGCAGACTTGGACTTATCTTTTAATTAAGGTTCGATTTCTCACTTTTCTTGAGTATTTATTTTTGAATACTATTTATCTTAAGTTTTGTATTTTTATATAAATTAATCCTTAAGTTTTAGTATTTTGTATTAGTTAAAGTTATCTATTATCCTTCGAATTCTCTTGTATTTATGTCTTAAAGCTGTGATCCTAAAAATAAATAGAATCATTGATTAAACCTATAATTAGAAATATACTCTTAAATTATATTATACTTGTCTTATTGTCAAACTCATACTTGTGAATCCATTAGTACTGTATTGTTTATTCACACTTTAAGTACTGTACAGTATGTACTAAAATACCCAGAGTACTTTACAAGTTAGTCTGCATATATGGGTATTATATTTGGAAGGATATTATAGTTAGCTTAGAGGATATAAGTCACACTATATGACTATATGAGTGCTGATTGATCGAGTTTTCAATTCTTTAGTACTCCAGGTATTTTACATTAGAGATGGGCAATGTAATTTTTTATGTAATCAATATGTATTTTTTAATTGTTATATATTTTGTTAATTATTACATATTATTATATAATTTTTAAGAAAAATTGATTACCAAATAAAATAATTATAATTTTTTAATAAATAAATTTTGAAGTAGCATTAGCAATCTTTAATAAATAAATTTTAAATTAGTGTTAGCAATCTTTAATAAATAAAATTAAATTAGTATTAGTGGTAGTTAAATTTAAATAAATGATATAATTTTCTATTATTACATATTGCAGCCAAAATTTTATATAACAATACATAATGAATATGTAATAATATGTAAAAAATTTGCTCATCTCTATTTTATATGCCAAGTGCTGTAATTTTTCAATTTACCCATCTTAATACTTGAGTACAATACATTCTAGGCCTCTAAAAATTATAAGGGATATTATAGTAGAGAGGTCTTTTAGTTCATGCTGTATGGTACTTCAACCCGTTTACTACTAAGCTTAAATTGACACTTGTGTTGATTGTAGTAACAATAGGTAATTTGATTATATCATCATTGATGCAGAGTATAATTTAAATTAATTTAAGTAAATCATCATGCATACGTAATTACAAATATGTTAGTCAGATATATTGTTTAGTCAATTTTTACAATTTATAGTATATTTGAAAAATAAATAAATAGATTTTGATTGAATAAAGATTTGTTTTTTCATTTTGGCATAGCAGTCTGACAAAAATAGTATAATTAATTTTGTATTGACAGTGGAGATATTGTATTTAAGTGAAGAATTAAGTTAGTGGATAAAGAAAAACAATGAAACAAGTAAGTGCTAAGCTAAAAACTTCCAAAAGAATATACGTATCAGGTGACCCTGAAAATTATTTAGTGATACTGACAAAGTCAAAAATAATCAACCATAGGGTTAAAAATAACAAATGAATGTATCAAGTTCTCTTTTTTAGTATCATGTTAATGATAATAGAAGTGTTAATTTACCTTTCAGACATGCAGTTGAAACATATATCAACTCTTTGCTACTCTTAACCAACTGCAAACTTAAGAAACAAAGTTGACTTTATGTAAATAAGAATATCAAGGCAAGTCTAATTACTCTAAAATGTGTTAAAGGAGCTATCAACTACCTTTCTTGAAAGATGGTTCAAGGACAAAATAAATCAATGAATAGACTGGATGATATAATTGAGCTTAATAATAAAGGTCATGAGCAAGTAACTAAAATTAAACAAAATGTAGCTTTAGACCTAACAGTATGGTGATAGGTTCTTTTTTGTGATGGCAACAATAATTGTAAAAAGGCCTGTAGTGGAATTAGGGAATATAAGCAAGAATGTTCAATTTTTTGGTTAAAAAATAACTTGAAAACCAATTTTGATACACATAAGTGTTCAGTTAAAATTATTACTAAGGTTATGCTTTCAGATGTTGAAGAGTCCTTGCCAGTACAATTGTTTATTGAAGATACACATAGATCATTACATATACTGTAGATCTCAATCAAAAGTATCAAGAGTAAATCTTAGTCACCAAGCCTGTGACCATGCAATTGCAGCACATTGTGTGCATTACAGTTCTGGAGTAGAAATTGCACTAAAATTATTAGCACCATACAATAATACAAGTAAAACAGATCTTAGATATATGTGTAAAACTAGTAAAAATCTATGTACAGAGCAACAATTAAAATGATTAGTTGAACATGATGATATCAGATTACATGAAAATGCTAGTCCATAGGCAATCTTAGATCAATTGGTTACTACTGAATTAAAAAAGCAAGGAAAAGTAATTTATTATCAGTGTAATGATACTTCCATTTCTGAAAATTGCTCTAAATATTATTACCAATTAACAGTAAGTGATGATATATGGCTTCAGCAAGGCCAAGATTGTGGATTTTTCTGGTTTGAAATAGACGGAAATATAATCTAAATAATGAGAAAGCACATGTACTTTCTATAGTTATTAAGGATGAAGCTGGATATGTGTCTCCATTAGCATTTGGTCTTAGTGACAAAGAAAATCATCTTATAATATAAATAGCTGTGCAAGCAGTACAAGCTAATATTTCATGTAATAACCCTAATTGTCTGCATTGTTACCAATATGCTAATTTAGAGAATAGAAAAGGTTTTCGATATTAGAGAGAATATGTTTCTTATTGGAATCCATTAGCTATGATGAATAAACATCAGCCCACTAAACTTGCATTGCAGGGTCTTATTCATGGAACTATTCTCTGTTGGTTTTATGTTATGGCAACTTTAAGTGAACATTTACAAACATGAAAAGTATACTGGCCATTATGGTATCCAATAGTATTGGCTTTTAAAGTTGTTGGTTGAAGTAGATCAGATAAAGAAGCTACTATAATAGGAGAAGAATATAAAAAATTTATCTACACTTTGCTACTAGACAATAATATAAAAGATCTTTTGGTATCTGACTTAGAAATAAACTGGATTTGTGATAAATAGAGACAGTGTTTTATTGATAGTGGACAGGCACTGCAAATACATGATCCAGTCAATGCAAAACCAATGATGACAAATAACCTTACTGAGAGGATGCATAAAACAGTAGAAGCACAATGTAGTAGAACACAAACTGTCATTTTATTTATTAAATGTTTGTATAGTATTAAAATTTTTCGAGATTTGCTAATTCAAAATGAGCTTGGTGAAACCTTATTTAATGCAAATTTGACAACATATTGGAATATATGTATAATAGAGCATAAGCAACTTCTACCAAAAAAACCAATTGACATAAAATATCAGATTAACCAAGGGCATCTTTATGTCTTGCTTGGTCTAGTTATGCCAGTAATTGGATATGAACATTATATGTTTGTCAAAAAACAATATAAAAGGTTTTATTCACCATATAATCATTTTTCTATTTGTATGCTAGTAGAAATAACAGAACAAATTGATACAATGATTACTAAGTTAGTAAACTGAGATAATATTAATATATCAGCTGATTATTATCTTGTGAATATGTTATCCAGAGAGTGTACATGTAATGATTATATCTGAAATGGTTCTTATTATAATGTCTATAAACATGTGTATGCAATATGATTCTATATTGAATTATTAAATAAAAGGCTACAAGTACAAGATGTTAAACAAAGCCTAGTAAAGCATTTTAAAAATAAAGAGCATGTAATTGCATTAGAACATAAGAACTATATTATATATATTTTTTTTTTAACTGTCTCAGATGATATCATCATAGGGCATGTGTGGTGCTCTTTTTATTAAGTATAGCTGCTAGATTATTATTTATACATTAAAGGATTTACTAAACTAAATATTTGTATATTTTTCTATAAATAGGTTTAACAAAGTTTTTGTCATGTAGTAGACTGATCTCTTTAAAGATTCTGTTTCTTGCTATAGCTATAATTGCTTATTCTGAACATTATATATTTTTCCATTTAAAAGCAGTGTAATAGCATCAAATTTCATATATAGTGTGTATATGCAGCTATAATATGGTCTTATATGTTTTTATTTTCTCTGTAATGTTTTTTAGAAATATTTTTTCTAGTGAGTCTGATATGGATTCAGTTTGGCCTGTTTTTAGAAATTTGTATGCTTCTATCCAGATTTTTTTACTAATTTTGCATTCTGTTGCAAAGTGTTCGATAGTTTGTACATTTTCTGAGCACCAAGGGCATTCATCTGATTCTGTTGCTACAAAGTGACAAAGCCTGTATCCTAGTGGTAGGGCTCTGTGAAAGAGTCACCAGAAGATGTCCTTTTTTCTGTTAAGTATTGCTTTTTGGAGAATCCAATTGTTGCTTTGAGTTTGCTCTAAAGGGTCTAATAGATTTGTATTCTTGAAGTTAAGTTTTCTTAAAAGTTTTATCGTAAGTTTAACTGTAATTTCTGGTCCTTTTTTCTTATCCATTTCTAGTTCTAAGAGATTTCAGGGCCAGTTGGATTCTGTAAGAATCTCTCCTTTAGCTTTTTTCCATGCTAAGAGGTAGGGTTTCCATTCCATAGGCCATGCTTTAGTCCTGATTGGTTGTGTAGAGAGTGCTTTTATAGCTGAAATATTTCTTTTTTGGTCAAGTATAAGAGAGATTCTTTTTCTTTTTATTTTTGCCCACAAGAGATTACTTGAGATTAGTTTTATTCAGACTGAGATTAGTCTAGCTTCTAGCATATTGCTAACTATTGGTGCTTGTAAGTCTCCTTGTTCATGTGGTTGCTGAAAGATAGAGTATCTTAGAAGCATTTTGGAGTTGTTTTTGATCTAGTGAGTGATAAGCCTATTAATTTCTGCTATTTGCTTCTTGCTTAGTGGCATTAGATAGGTGACATATCAGATTTTTGAGAGAAGTAGTGAGTTTGCCAACATAATTTTCCTTTTTAAGGATAGGTTTCTATAAGCGAGCTTTTCTAGGTTTAGTTTGAGTTTGTTTATAGCTTTTTGCCATAATACTTTTTTTGGTATGCCATCAGCAGTAATGCTATATCCTAAAACTGTAATGTGGTCTTGTTTTTCTAGTTTTTTAAATTGAGTTTCTTCTGGAAGAGTTTTTTCTCTTGCTGTGTTTGTAAGTGGCATTAAATTAGTTTTGAGCTTGTTGATTTTTGCATTGGAAGCTTTTTCATAATTATCGAATAAGCCTAGTATTGTTGTCCAATCAGTATGAGAGCTGATGCCTATTGTTAGATCATCTGCATATGCAGCACATTTGAAAGATTGGTTGTTAACTTTGATTCCTGTTATGTTTTTGTCTATTATGTTTAGCAATGGTTCAAATGCTAATACATATAGAAGAGGTAAGAGTGGGTCTCCTTGTCTAACCCCTCTTTCTACTCTAAAGGAGTTTGAGATATATCCTGAATCTAAGATGTGGGCTTCTTGTCGAGAAAATAGGTTCTTTATTAGATCTTTAAATTCTTTATTGAAGCCCATATTTTCTAGTACCAGTTGAAGAAACTCATGACTTATTCTGTCGAAAGCTTTTTGTTGATCTACAAATAGCATCCAATGCTCTTTTGTATCATCTTTTTGGTTTCTTAAGATTGTGAGAATGTCCAATGCAGAGTCTGTAATTAATCTGTTTGTGATGAAGCCCTGCTGATGTTGAGGTACAATTGCTTCACAGATCATATTTAGTCTGTTGGTGATAATTTTCATAAAAATTTTAGCATCGCAGTTGACTAGTGAAATGGGTCTTCAGTTGTTTATATTATGTAGTTCTTTTGACTTCTTTGGTATTAGTGTAACTAGATTTTTGCACCATAAGGAAGGTATTATTCCTGAGGTTAATACTTGGTTAAAGATTTGTTCTAGAATAGGTATAATGTGTTCTTCCGTAAGTTTATAGAATTCATATGTAAGGCCATCCAGTCCTGGGGACTTGTTATTTGGTAGTTTTTGGATAGTTGTTAGAATTTCTTCTTTGGAGATAGGGTCTGTTAGTTTTTTGTTCATTTGTGTAAAGATCTGTGGAAGGTCTTTGGTGATTTGTTTTGCTATTTCATTGTCAATTTCTTCTTTACTATATATTGTAGAATATTGTTCTTTGATATAATTAAGTACTTCCTTTTTGTTGGATTGTTCCTGGGATGAGGGAATTTGTATTTTTGTAAGAGCTGAACATGAGTTTCGACTTTTAAAATGTGAATAGAAGTATTTAGTTGATTTTTTTTCTAGTTCTATTCAGTTTGTTTTTAATCGTTGTTGCCATCTTTGTGCCAGTTTAATTAATTCTAATTGGACCTGTAAATTAAGGTTTTCTAGTATGACAAAGAGGTGTGTTTGGTTGGGAGATTTGGCTATATTTTCTTTTAATTAGTTAATTTTCTTGTTGAGTTTTTCTATTTTGTCTTCTGGGGCTTTTGGTTTTTAAAAGCCTTTATGATTGATTTGATGTAGATTTTATGCATGTCCCAGCTTGTTGCAAAAGTAGCATCTTTGATTTCATCCAAAATTTTTTTTTTTAGAGTATCATTTTTAAAGGAATTTGGGTTGAATCTCCATAGTATTAAGTGTCTAGGTTTTTGTTCTAGGCTTAGTATACATTTAACTAGAAGGTGATCAGAGTTTCCAAATTTTGTTTTAGTTTCTAATTTGAGATGACTGTAGTTTTCATCTATAAAAATGTAGTCTAGCTGAGTGGCTATTAATTAGTTGTTATGTGTATTTTGATAGAATGTGTAGAAGGGGTTTCATTTAGAAAATGAAGCTAAGTTGATGAATTCTTTTGTAATTTCATTAAGTAGTGTCCTTGAAGGGTTATTTTAAGAAGTTGCCTGACTTATTCTATTGATATCTGAGTTCAAGTTTGTGTTCAGATTTCCTGTGATAATGTTGATCATGTTTTCTTTTTTGTCTATATTCCAATTGTTGAAGAATTCCATTCTGTTTAGGATGTTTGGTAGTGCATAAACATTTATCATATAAAAGGAGAATTTCTTAAATGTGAAACATGTTGAGATTATTCTGTCTTCTTGTAATATCTTGGTGTCATTAAATTTTATAGTCTTGTTTCCTGCTAATATTGCTGTTCTACCTGTCCAGATTAAGTCAAAAGGCCATTGGTCTTTTAAAAATTATTGGGTAGCAGCATTAAAAGTATTTGTTTCTTGTAAAAAAATGATATATAATCTATAAGATTTTAAAAGTGTTAATGTTTTAGTCTGCTTGTCTAAATTGTTTAAGCCTTTAATATTTAATATAGCGATTTTGATTAAGTGATAGCTCATTAAAAATAAATTATTTAGTTTTAGAGCTTCCACTGGCTCTTTGTTTTGGATCATCCTGGTAATT